AAAAAATCTCTTTATGTAGAATGAAATCAAGCTAATCACAGAATTTTAGATCACTCACCTCGTGTGATAGCTCGTAATAGCTGTTTGGATGGGTTATCAGTTGACCCAATGCGCCTTCGGCCATTTTGTGTGTATACTCGAAATAGCGAGTGCATGCTTTGTCAAATGCAGATGACTTTGAGTAGTTCACTATCTAAAAAGCACATGGTCACCTCCAGTAATGGGCAGCGAAGTATCAAAAAAAAGTTGTGAAGTCAAAGTATCCTTACCTGGTTGATTTGACTACCGTTCAAACCGTCCTTTTCCAAACGTTGAGCTAGTAACTGATGCTCCAAGTGTTTGAATGGACAACCTAGGGTAAGAAAGATGGCTCAAATACTAATTTTGTGCTGTAGAGATGTAAGGACTTACCATGACAGTCACCAACAGCAGGTGGATTACTCAAAATAATCGTACTGCAAGGGAATGCTGGATAGTCCTTTCGCTGACCTTCTTTTCCGTACATGTGACGGATATTATAGGCATACTGCTTTTCAAACTGAAACATCGGTCATTTTTCTTGTATTTTGCGGTTATTTCACCACGGACTTTATCTGAGTCTATTTTCTTTGTAAACTCTTCCCGCATGAACATCATTGCCTCATCAAGAGATAGACCTATAGCTTTCAAGAACAAACCGTACTGCCTGAAGAGAAATTTGTGCACATTCAAAATGCAAGGTGGGCGGAATTACCTCCTGGCTCCGTGTCTCAGGTGGTGATCGGCTCGAAGGCGATGATGAATTTGGCGCATACAAGGAGGAAACGAAGTTGCGCAGAGCTGGAGCAAAGAATTAAATGAGAAAGTGTCCTACCCCTCCAACATCATACAAAAACAGTCATACCGTAAATTGAATATAGATAAAGTTCTGTATTCACTTTGATCAGTTCTGTAAAATGCATACCTGATCAATCATTTGCCGAGTTATCTTCCCTTCACTCTCCTTTCCAAGATACTGTTTCCCACTGTAAGCATTGTTTGTCAAACGGGCCAAACGTGGCAGCAATCGAGGCTCTTCCTCGATAATGGCCAAATGCTTGAACGCACGCTGGAAAGAAATAACCGAAGTTAGAAAGTGTTTCATACCAGATCTTAAAAAACCTACCGCCATTGCCGCTGTCATATTCAAACGCAGCATAGCGCTCACAATTACTATGAGATCATTATAAGGCACATACGCATAGCCATGGCGAACAAGGACTTTCCGACGACGAACGAGCTCAAGAGCTTGAGTAAAGTCCACCTGAAGAAATAAGTTTTGAGAGCCGGGCATACTTCACGCGATGTCATCGCCTCGCGATTCTCCCAACAAGACAACTGTTACGA